CGGGTCCTGTCATTGGTTTCTATTGTCTCGACTTATTTGCCGTCAATTCCTATGAGTTCTCACAACTAATCCTCATATCTGTCGCCAATTATCTCTTTATTATCGATTTATTTCAATAGTTTAGTATTCAGTTATAATGTTCAGTATTATATGTAGGTATTGTATAAATATTAAAAAGTGCTAGCTTACTTTCAAGGTAAACTCAAATTTTTAATATCTATCTCACTATCTGTAATTTAAAATCAATTTACCTTATATTGACTTTTATAATCTTTGCTTGGCAAGTAATATTGTATAATATATAGCAGAATTAAATATACTGTATTTAACGGGTGTCCCAATGGATGCCAACCATTTTCAATAAAAATTAAAAATATTTTCAATTATATCTGGCCTTAGAAACAAATTGTGGACTATATATAGGATATGAATTTAAATATTTTTCTTTGCTTTCGAGTAAAGTATAAAACTTAATAAAGTTTAATATAAGTAGCATGAATGAAAGCAATGAAAAATTTTTAAATTCATATCATATATATAATCCTCAATTTGCTTTCTAAGGCCAGATATTATATCAACAAAAACTATACCCAAATGTTCACAATTTATTTAGGTTTTATATGGAATTCATAAAATATTCATAAGATGAATACCCTGGTCATAATCCAACTTGTAATTAATATTAAGTAAATTTGGTGTACCCGAAATACATCTAATGGTATCCCATAGTATTACACCTTACGCTTTACTTATTTTTTAACAATTATAAAATAAGTTTATAAAACATTAAATATTAAAACATAAAACATTTTATGAAACATTCATTACACACCATAGTTAATTAAACATTAATATGAATAAATATCTATTTTAAAAATACTTATTTTTAATGTATCCAGTTTAAATAATATTATGTGGAATAACATGCACCCTATTATCAGGAAAGTATTTGTGGTATTTATTTGTATACCAAATGAATATTAAATGCATTCTATGTGTGAACTAAATGGTGAATATATTTGCCATTAGTGCCAAACAAAATAAAAACAAAATAACCTCGGATTTAAACATAATAAATAAATGTCTAATAAATACATAATATAATAAAACATTATAAAATAACCCTGACACTTATAAGTTATAAATAACAATTAAATAGAAAATCATGTAATTTTTTTTATTTTATAAGTTATACTTTAATAATAAGTTTATAAAAAATTTAATTTTGAAATAAAATTATTCTGTATTCATTTAACAATTAATATATCTTAACGAAATGCTACGTTATTTACGATTAAACACTTTGGTGTCATACCTCTGGAACCGTTCAGTGATAGTCATATAGTCAGCCATTGTCTACAACTCCAGAAGTAAAGCATTTAAACTATGATTTAATTCATAAATACAACTAATATTATGTTCAAAATTTGCACAAAATTATTATTATTATTATTATTATTTATTTCTAAAGTCTATTTATGTGTATATTACGAACATCTATAAGTTATAACAATTGGGGTGTTTATAATCAGGGTATGTGTCAGTATTTGCGCTACAAATGTGGATATACTGGCCATTTATGGCATACAATGATCCACTAATTGTCTATAAAATGTGACACAAAATTATTTTGAACGCCTCTGAAGGCCCACCACAAGAGGTTTTGGCTTCAATATGATCTGTCCCTTCCTGAAGACTATGGGGACGTCAGTGGCGGTGACTCTGGAGAAGCGAAACCTCTGCGACATCTTAGCTAAGGCTACCTTTACCTCCAATAACGCGAATCGCATTGCAATACAATGTCGTGGACCCGATCCGAACGGCAGGTATGTATAGGGTTTGATATGACCCCGGTTTGAGGGCATAAACCTATCCGGGTTGAAGGTAAATGGATCCGCGTAATGGTCGGGGTCGTGATGCATGGCATACACCGGGATCTCAACGATCACTCCCTTCTCGATCATCACTCCAGTGTCGCCTAACATTACGTCTTCCATGGCTTCCCTCTCGAGTCGAAGTCCCAGCGGATAGTGGCGAAGAGTTTCCGATAGGAGTGCGTCCAGGAATGGTAGTCTCGACAGCACATCGTAATCCATTTCTCCCTTTTCATTGAACGCCTCTTTCGTCTCCCCATAGAGTCTGTCCTGAAGTCCCGGATTGAGTGCCAACTCATACGTACAGATCGACAGAGTAGTGGCAGTTGTCTCGTAACCGGTGGTGAAAAAGAGGAAACATTGCGCTAATATCTCGTCTTCAGTCAACTTCTTCTCCAACACCCCTTTGAAAGCCTCGACATTGGCCGCCATCTCATCCCTGCCCTCATTCACATGATGCGCTTCATTGGCATCACTGGCCTCTCGTACGTCTCCATCGGGTATCTCGGCGTCCATTAATAGCTGCAGAAAATCGTTATGTTTTTCATTGTTTTCCTTTCGTTTCTGTATTAAACTTCGCGTAAAGTTGTTGAAAAACTTTCGCTCATTACTTCCGTGGCTTACAATACGTCGGTATATATTAGTGTTTACGATCACTGAAGGCAATAACATTGCTAACACGCCTTTCCACACGGGATGGTTGACAAAAGTGAACGCTCTGGTAGTGAACGGGTTGTTAGGGTCGGCGTATGTATTGGTTTTCGTGGCAACGGCGCAGCTGACGATCACATCCATAGTGTAGGCGCCCATCAGTCGCTTCAACTCGACTTCAATCATACCATTCGTCACATCCCTGTCCACACTATTGAGGAAGTCTTCGCAGCACCGGCTGATCAGAGGATACATTCGCCTCATCTTTCCGGACGTGAAGGTAGGGCTGACTATAGCCCGCACTCGTCGCCAGTTTTCATCCCTGGACCTCTGACTGGAGGCGCCCTTTTCCGTGGATCGGTTACGAAATGTATGGAAATCTTTGACCAGAATTTGTTTGATGAGCTCCGGGACGGCCACTGTTAGCCTGGGCTTCCCTGATATGTATGTTCTGTACGTACACTCAAAAAGGTGTCATAAAAAAGGTTTTAAATTTGCTTTTTATGTTCAATAACTATAATTACCCATAAATTTTGCCGTATTTCTTATACCATTCCAACTCCACTAATGGTCGAGGGTTTAGGGATAAACTCAAAAGGTTTCCGAATATAGGGAAGGGTTTTGGACCACAAATGTGTCGACCCCTCCAATAGTTGAAGGAATTCCTCCACGAACTCATTGGATGAATGAATAATTTCATAAATTATTATGTTTTAAATGAATTTAAATTTTTTAAAATCTAATATAATATGCATATTATGTCTTACAAGAAGTAGTACGCGATCGCCGCCACTATAAGCCCTATGAGACAGCACTCGTATGTCTGGCAAATCGGTGCCAACACTGACCCCAACATTATTGTCATAACAGACTTGATGTTTAATAAATAGGCTTTTATTTTAACTTTAACGTGTAAATTAAAACTTACTTTAAAATGTAATATTAAATAGTTTGCCCCGAGTCTTTTTTATACACAATTTTGTACAAGTCATACCTTAAATGCGTGAACAAAGTGTCAGCATAATATTTGCAAGATCCTCTTTACACGACTACAGTATACCATTTGTGAAGTAATTCTCAAATGTAATTGTACTAGTACAGTGTCATGTAATGTTTTGAAATTAATCATCAACACAAACACTTTTTTTGTAGGTCTGGGCGCTATGGCTGTAGTGGTGATGATAATTGGCTCAAACATACATTGGGTTCACAACTATACGAGAAGTTATACTTTATTATGAATATAGCAATTTGAGCGCAATTACAAAGTATTGAAGTGTATGAACACATTTGGAGCGCAAATCTATACTAACTGTGCGGTTGACAGTAGTTTCAGAGGGAAGGGTAGCATAATAGGCATATCAGCGGATATTACTTCATAGCAGTGAAAGCGGATCTGGGAATCAATAGCAGAAAGTTCTCGAATATGACAATCATTACAAACAATTGACACATCATTTTAACAAATGTTTTCATAGGCATCTCATAGACATAATGTTAACGTTAAGAAAAGTTTATAATTTGTAATAATAAAGTTTATATTTATAGCATATTTAGATGGTATAGCTTATCAAGTGTTATAGTTTTGTATGAATAATGCAGTATTACAATAAATTAAATTAAATTAAATTATAAACAGTGAGGATAGGGTTATTGAAAATTTTATCTATACTTTCCTAATTACATATTCATGACATGTAACTTTTACAAACAGCTTCAACACATATAGCCTTTACAATATAAATCATGACAAATATCTGTACAGTATTGATCAATTGTGTTAACATTGTGTACAATAAAATTAAAATTGTGTTTGCATTTTGTGAAATTAAAAAATAAGCTTAATTCATAACATATTTGTCCATTATATTGACAAAACTGCAAAACTTGCCAAAGTTTGCATCAACTCATACACCCATACGAAGAATGTCTACCAAAAGTCACTACAAAGAGATTCGGTGATCGGATTGATTTTAAATTACAGATAGTTAACAGATATTCAAATAATAACTGGAGTTTACTTGAAAGTAAGCTGACACTGTTTAATATATTTACACAATATCTACATATAATACTAAACTATTAAAACAAACGACGGATGAGAAACACTTTGAGACTTTGAGATACAAACATCGATAGCCTTATACTGTTAATTGATAAAATAGTATATTGATACTGATCATGCATTCAACCACTAATTGACATGGCTAACACCATATTTGATCAATAGATTACTAATTAATTAACAAAAACTAGTGATAATTATCTGACAAACCGATGGCATGTGTGCTGTAATCATAACTTTTGAGATATTGCGGCAATGTTTTGATATCCAATGGCATTCCCCACGGATTGGCCGGTAAAATGACATAGTTTTGTAGTCCACTGTGAATCGGGTGGACACTGGTTAGGAGTGCCCCCCGACTCGGTGAACATACCGGTGACGTGTAGTAGTTGTTCAGTAGTATACCATTGGCGGCCAGGGTGTCGATGTTAGGGGTCAGCATCTGATCCGAGTGGTAGCCCACATCACCCCATCCCATGTCGTCGGCCACCAGTATTATGATGTTTGGCCGGACGGGTGGGTCTGTCCTACCGTATATTACGAGCGAATTGATTGTCAAAACTTTTAGTATGAGATTTAGTACGGAACACATTTTTAGGTAGTGTTTAGCCGTCTATTGATTAGTTTATTGACATTTTTCTGGTGATGTCTGTCCCAATCAGCTGATTATTGTAAAGTGTTATGAAATTTTGAATTAATTAAATTGAATTTTAAATGTCCACCATACTTTTAATTAAGTACAAACCATATGTGCCCTAACCATAACCCATATATCTCAATGTCTCTCTATCTCTCTGTATCTCTAATGCACGTATAAAAATGATTGTCTCTTAAAACCTTTTGTCCCTCATTTGTATTCATATGAAAACAATGTTAATAATGTTATTATTCATAAATAACACGCCTTTCAGGCAATTGTAAGAACTTTTTTATATTCACTGCCGCCAGCAGTGGTATAAATGAGCCAGTCATATTTTAACGCTATAACATTTTAGTTTTACATTCAATTCACTTCAAACTGTCAGTAAAACTTTATAATGATTTTCAAAACAATTCAAGAAATTCAATTTATTTTCATATGATAACTAAAATAATTGTCTGTGATTTATTTAACATTATAAATTTATAGCTTACACACTAGCTCACAAGTCTGTATATCATTTATATAATATTATTCACCATAGTATGTTTGCTTGTTTTTATAAGTATAATTATTAGTATTAAGCGACCTATACTAAATAATGTCAATTTAATATTTGAATAGTATTCACATTGTGTATTGATTTTCAATTACATGGAGCAGCTATATAAATAAATCTTATAAATATTTATCAAATAATTAAATCTACTGTAGCGCACATTAACTGTGGCATAGGTCTAGATTAGCGTGGTTTACATTGTTGAAAGCACTGGATTGTTATACAGTGCATATTTAATAGACATCAATGATGTATAGAGGGTTAAATATACTGAATACAAGTTTAATGAATTCAAACTATAAATTGTCAAACTATGAAACCACACATCACTGAAAATAAGTAAATCCTTACTACACAGAAAATATTTTTCCCAATTTAGTTGATTTAGTTAACAATTTAGTTGAGAAGTCGTACACTGAGAAAAATCAATGCATATACACTTAATTTTAAGTTATATTATTATATCATAAGTCATATTATTTCATGTTATTATATTAATTAAAAAGTTAAAGTGCACAATTAAGTTAGTTAATTGGTAATTAAGTCATACACTGAGAAAAATCAATGAATATACATTTCATGTTAAATAATCAATTATTTAGTTAATTTAATACACAGTTAAGTTAATTAATTGATAATTAAGTCATACGCATTAGTTCATTTTTTGGTAATTAATTATTAAATTAAGACAAGTAGTGAATCGAGTAAAGAGTCGAAAGTGTTTATAAATGAGAATTTAAGATTTAATTCAGTAAATTTGATAATAGAATTGTACATAAAAATGGTTTAATATGTATATTTACATACATACTTTTTAATTATGCTCACCACATGCCCTCATTGGCGGCTTTCATAATAACTTAAACGGTTTAAACCGACACTTCTAAAGCTGTAACATATTGTATGTGTTGTCGACCAAGATTAATAACGGTTCTACCCCAAAAGGCCTACTCTGACAAAATCTAAATATTTTTTATTTCACTGTATTAATGTTTAACCAAAGTTGAGATCTACACTGGCACTATAGTATTACATAAATTACGCTAATATATTTGACGTAATTTATACAATATGAGCATTTATTGCATAATTGTTTGTGAAATTTTGAAAAATGTAAATAAACATAGTTTGGTAAGTAAATAAATTACGTAAAATTAGTTTAACATAATTGTTGACTAAATTAATGAGCGCCAAACATAATTAGACTTATTTGACCTATTTATCATTTTTAATTAACAAGTAAATTCGAATTTTGTAAAAGTATGTCTTTTAGGCCGTAGGCGTTTTGGGCGAGTCCGATTAATAACATCTCAGTTGGGAACAACGAATCTCGATCGAGTGGTTAAAATTGTTATGATTAGTTATCCAGTAACACAATTAACATTTTGAATTGACTAAACTTGGCGAATCAAGTAAATTAGCTTGCTAAATTTACGTTTAACTATCG